ACACCTTTATATTAAGCATTGGGTTCTAGGAGCGAATATGATAGTTGTTTTGATTTTGCCTTCACTGATCATATGCCTATTTACTTGCTATTATATGTTGATGACATGCTCTTACTTTGTAAGTCTAAATCAAAGATAAGTGATTTAAAATTGAAACTGAACTCATAATTTGATATGAAGAACTTAGGATCTGCTAAGAAAATTTTGTGAATGTTCATTGAAAGAAATAGAAAAAATCGTGAGCGAAGAGTGAATCAGCTGTCATACTTACAAAAACTGGTCACTAAGTTTGGTATTTCATAATCCAAACATGTCAATTGGCCACTTGCAAGTCATTTTATCTTGAGTAAACTACAATGCCCTAAGTCTAATGCTGAAATGATTAAGATGGAAAATATCCCCTACTCTAATGCAATAGGGTCTATAATGTATGCCATGATTAGCACTAGACCATATTTGTCCTTTGCAATTTCCTTACTTAGTAGATTTATGTCTAATCCTGGCTATGATCATTGGATTGCATTAAAGTGATTGCTTAGGTATATCAATGGTTCTTTACATATTGGTTTAAACTATTGCAAAAGGGATAATTCACTTGATCTTGTGGGATTTGTAGACTTTGACTTTGCAGGTGACAGAGATATAAGAAAATCAACTACATCCTATTGTTTCACCTTGGGTGGGAATTGCATCAATTGGAAGTTCCAACTACAGCCTTTTGTTACATTATCTACAGTAGAGGCTAAATACGTAGCTATGGCCGATGCCTTCAAAGAAGCATTGCTGCTTTAATGAATTTTCAAGGAAGCCAATCTGGTGGACAGTATGGTGATAGTGTATTCAGACAGCCAAAGGGTTATACATCTAAGCAAAAACCTAGTTTACCATGACAGGACCAAGCATGTGGATGTAAGGTACCACTTTGTAAGAGATCTAATTGCTAAGTAAATGATTGACTTAAGGAAGATTCCAGCTGAAGTCAATCCTGCGGATATGGGCACAAAAGTAGTCACTGCTATGAAATTCAAGCATTGCTTCGATTTGTTGTCTATCAGCTAGGCATTAAGGAGTAAAACTAAGAAGCAATTGATGATGAGTTCTCTACACAAGTGAGAATTGGTGTGTTGCTGTTGGAAATTCTAACTTCAAGGTAGAGATTATTGAAGGTGAAGTCAGAAACAACATCGCACAACTAAACTGATACGCTGCCACATTTGCTGTGCACCTTTCCTGACCGTGGATTTGCAATATGATCAGAAGGCTGTCTTGATGCCACCTGGACAAGAGTATAAAAGCACCCTTTCTCTCTTCTGAAGTCAACACAAAAACACAATTGAATCTCTCTCTTTTGTTTTTCAGATCTGCATTGTATTAGGCTTGCTTTTCTTGGTTTTTTCTTCTTTGTAAATTTGTCATTGTAGTAGTGACATTTAGTCACTTTGTGAGGGTTGAGTTTACTCTCGGGTGTAAGGGTTTCCAGGTTGAGTTCCCTTGGGGCAGATTTGCAGGTGTAAAGAAAAGTGTTTAGTGGGAGTGAGGAAATTAGAGAGTGTGTGTGTGTGTGTGTGTGTGTGTAATCTGTAACAAAGGTTCTAATTAGTGCAGAGAGCTCCTCAATTGTGGAGTTCAACGTGGATATGGCTTATCCAAATCTTGGATAAGTGACCCACAGTAAGTCGTGTTCTTCTTGGTTGATTGTTTTTGTGTGTGTTGTGATTATTCTTGATTTTAGTTTGTTAAGTTGAAATTGGTAATAGGATTTAATCATAACATAATTAATGTTCACTTTCGTTGATATATACTTAATAAGAACACAAATAACACAAAGAACAAAAATGAAGAGAAAAACTCTATTGTATTGCAATGCTTGGAATGAAAATAACCTAAGATTAGTTAGCTTTAAATAGAAGTTTACAAGTAGATCTAATGATCCAAACAGTATATATCCATTAAGATGGATGGTTATGATTAATTATATAAGTAATAGAATCCTAGTCCCATTTTGCCGCCTATTTGGTGAAGGAACATTCTAAAAGCTTCTGGAAAGATTCTCTGACATATTCTCTTATGCTCCTCGTTCAAGTCTAGGTCATGCCTCTTGAACAGATATGGGTCTCATGTGGGCTTGGGCTTGCCTAGACATGACACAGGGCACCATTGATCTCTCCTAGGAAGATTTTGCCAAAATCAACAACCTTGATGCTGGAAAGATCAAGATCGAGCACACTCCCTACGCTTAAATACCTTATTTTATTTATATATGTACATGAAAATTTCCAGTGCACACTAACATTTACATTTTCTTTTTTAAATCTAAACTCTCATTCGATAACATTGATTGATTTTATGTTTTCAATATAAAAAAAATTTATTGCATAGATAATTTCTTTATTTATTCTTTACAGGGTTTGAAGTTTTCTCCAAGGTTACGAAAAGATGGAAGCTTCAGGAAAGGAAAGCCCTAGTGTTTAATATTTATAATAAACAATGCATATATCCAGAAAACTTGTATGGTTGATGTATTATGCAGGTCAATTCATTTATTTATTAAAAAAAAATAATAATAATAACTAGTTGTTTAATGGAATAATAAGGGCTGTTTTGTTGTGAAAGGTCATATATACTTGCTTTTCAATTATATATATGAATTATTTTTTCAGTTGATTACCTGTTTGAATATATGAAACTTATATATTAAAGAAAATAAAATAGTACACATGCATATAAACTCTTTATAAAAATAGGTATTATATGTTTTTTGCATCATCTATTTCAATTAATTTTTTTAATTTTTAATCTTCGAATTACATAATCCTACAATTAATTTGAATATATTAATCACTTTGTATCAAAAGCGCTTATATGTATATGTTGAGATCATAAATTGATACTTTTTCACTTCTTATTATGTCAATGTAATATGTAGTTCAAGATGTGAAACCTGTTACAATTTCATAACTATATTATTCTTTAATAAATAAATATTGTTTGACATAAAATTAATTAATATCTTAAAAATAAGATATCTAAATTTGTTATTCTAATCCCATATGTGCTTCCACACTGAGCATATTTAGAGCGGTAGGGCCTAGGGGTAATATTGGAAGTGACAAAGGATCATGCGATTAGATGGGTATGACATTGCAATTCTTATGTCGAGTAGAGTACATGGTAAAGACATCATGTGTAGAGCAAGGCAAAAAGCCCGGCCCAAAGGGTCGGTCCTTGGGAGGATTCCTATGATCAAACGTAGAAGAATGTTGGTGATTGTCTCATCAAATAGAAAATTAGGTGAAAATATCTTTTATATATAAGAGTAATTAAATAATACTCCTTCCGTTTTTTTTTTTAATTGTCGTTTTAAGAGTTTTTAAAATTTTCAAAATTAAAGTCGTTCTGCCTTGTCTTTTCTGCACCTTTCATCATGCCTTCTCCACTTTTTATCATGCCCTCTCTCTTTCCATTTCATCTTGTCATTTCTCTATTTTTTGCCTTTGTCTCTCTTTAATCTTTTATCTTATCTTATCTCTTCCCCTCTTCTCCTCTCTTCCTTATTTTCCATCGCCATTTCTTCTTTCTCTAATCTGTCTCTGCTTCCATCTTTTCTCTCTTTTTCTTGTCTTCCTTTTCTATGTTCCTCTCTCCACTTATTTGAAGCACCCTATCGTCTTCAATCTCCACCTTCACTTCCTCTTTCTTGAGCCCTGGAAGATCAACCTTGAACTCGTGAGCTTATAGGGTTTCCTTCCAGTCCACACGGGTGTTAACAAAAGCTGAAGTTTCTTGAGGGAGTTGAGAGGAGAGTGACGATACAGATGATGGGAAAGGAAAGTCCTTGAATGAGTTACAAACGACGCAGAAAGAGAGGATGTCTATGCGTGTGGCGAGGCGTTTAGCGATGGCATTGAGGAGAAGTGCGGGGAGAGTGGACCGGTCTGGGTGAGTGGTGTCCATGGGAGAAATTGGAGAAAATGGGCGTTTGTGGCAGTTGCGTAGTAGATTTGAGTTTAGAAATTTGTGATGTTTTTTTTCTTACCTGCAAAATCAGGGAAAAAAGTTGGTGGGAGAGAGAAATTTTTTTTTAATTAAAACCTATGCCCACACCTAAAACGACAATTAAAAAAAAAACAGAGGGAGTATCATTTAATAGACTAGTCTTCATTGACAGAACCAAGAAACTACATTTAAGGGGCCAAAGTGTTATATTGCCTAATGAGGGGATTAAATGAAAAGTGTAATTTGGAAATTGCAATTATATCGGGGTTAGGGGTTAGAGTTTAACCTAAGATGGGTCAAAGATGTAAATACAGTTTAAGGGATGAAATCAATATATTTGTACATAAAATGATTTGGATATATATAGCTAACTTAATAATCACAATTTTTTAACAGGTACAAGTTTTATTGAAAGGAAAAATCTAACTATAAAATCCAATGACTTACCAATTATAAAACAACAAATAATTTATTCATGATATATAACACAAGATTATACTAAACTATACAAAACTCAACAGTCTAACATTTAATTGTATGGTTTAACAATCTAATTAAAACATGCTAGATGATGCTAGACTACTAAGTCCAGTACATTTTGACTATTTTTGTCTTGATTATTCTCATTAAGAGAATTATTTTAGGTTTTTTTTTTTTTTTTTTTTTTTTTTTCAGCTAAACCTATTCTTTAAACAAATCATGGACACTTTTGAAATTAAAATAAAAATTAAATAATCATTAAGGAGAATTAGGTTAAGTTATGGTCTGATAATGTTGAACAATAACCTATAAACTTAAGCTTTTAAGTGGGATGACAACTTAATATGGTATCAGCCAAATATCTCAGTTCAAATCCTCACATACAAATTGGATAAAGAAGATGAAAAAATTCAAGTTTGATATGAGGAGTATATTAGTCTTATATATCTCTGTCTCTCTATCTATATATATATGGCACCATGTTGAAAGTCAAACATTGGTCACAAATTTGACTGTCAAAATGATTAAATAAAATTATCAAAACTTATATTATATTTAGGCCTTTTCATTCTATCAAATTACATGGCTTTCACATTACAAAGTTAATTAAGAAAATTAAAGATTACAAATTTTCATGATGTGTGCATTCTTATTTAAAGTATATATATCCTTCAAATTTGCACTTAGAACAACAACAACGTTCTCCTCTGCGTAAAAAGCCTCAAACACTGCAAATTAATGAACATAAAAAGTAGATATTAAAAATATATGTGAGAAATTAATACTAAATTAAATCTAATAAATTAACAAATAGTATTACTTAATAAGTAAACTTACGGGGTGTAGTCAACAATAACGTTGCCAGCATCAGGATTAGCAATCTTAGCAAAAGCATCTTGGGAAAGATTAAGAACCCCGTTGCAGCCTGTTTTACAACGATCAACCACTTTAACTACAACATTACCGGACCTGCAAGGATGTGGAGCCTCATTGGTGCCCCTGATGCAACGCACTCTATACCTTCTTCCACAAGCTCTCCCATTGTTCCATAGAGCATCACTTACTCCGGTCACCATCGTTCCGTCATTCCGATTGCCGTAGCAAGCGGAGGCTATATTTCAATTTCATAATTAGTAAATACTTATAAAATAAAAGTTCAATCAAACTTTTTTATATTAAAAATTGTCTTTTTAGTCTCACTGCTTACTAGTGTCACTTAATTAATGAGAGTCCAGATTTTAAATCCGTGTCAGAAAATTTTCGTTTACATGAATATGTCTACTAACCTTTGCAAAAAAAAAAAAAAAAAAAACGTAAGAGAAACCAGTGAATCATATGTATCAGCCTTATGTAATGAAACGATATATCACGGGTAGATTTTATAAAATAATCCGAGTTTAGTTGATTTCCTTCTTCAGGATTTCTTTTAAATAAAGTTTCCCCATTCAAATATCTAAAAAAACAATATATATCTTACCATTCAATTTTTCAGTAAGGTTTTCATGATCATATAACTAACACATATTATCTTTCATTCGTTAAATTAAACACAAAAATTATGATAAAACACTGATGGCAAATGATAAATTGTTATTTCATATAATTGAATGAAGATTATTATTTAATAAAATATCAGTGGTAAATTAATTAAACCCATATAATCAAGAAAGATATGAAAGAAATATACTTACGAGTATAAGGGGGTTTATAGAAAACAGCATTTCCTTGAGCGGCTTGTGCTGCCGAGGCTAAGCATAGCACAATACCAACAAGCACAAAAATTCTCATATCAAACATTTTTGTTTTTGTTTTTTGGGTATAGTATAGCTTAGCTTGGGTATATAATTTTGAGGTGCAATTAAGCCAGAAGTGAAATCTCTCCTTTTATAGAAGAAAAAAAGCAAAGAAATCCACCATTAATTTAGTCTTAATCGCCCACTTAGATGTTCTCATTGCTTTTTGGAAATGGATACTTGGACTAATTGGTATTGGTTTTCAGATTGCCTCCCACTATCTCATACTTTGTATTTTTTATAGAATAAAAGGGGGGTTTTCATAAGTCTTTGCAAAGTCTTCCACGTAAGTAAAAGGTATTTCAAATTTTCAATATTAAAAAAAAAATCTAAAATTAAATAACTTAAAACTTAAGTTTTGGTTAGCTTTCAGATATAAAACCCAAGGTTTAGAAGAAAGGCAAGTTCTACCCCTGGACCCTGTTTAGCCTTTTTTTTTTTTTTTTTTCCCCTCGTATCGCCAGAATTAAGGTAAACATGCTCTTCCTTCCCCTTTTTCCAGCTATTTCACGAACGTCCTTGTGACGAGACATTTTCCTAATTAAGGGGACGTGGAAAGTTGTGCTACGGAAAAGAAATAGATATGTTCATTAATTAATTAATTAAGTTATCTTTTGCTTCTTCCGAGAAAGAAAGATCAAATACAACTTTAATTGAGGAGTTTGTTTGTTCACACTTCATTTTAATTAAATAAATGAGAGCTCAATATAAGCTCCTTAAATTTTTAATTTTAGGGTTTGAGAGTTTTTTTTTTTTATTGGTTATAGGAGTTTTTAATTAGACTGGTTTTGAAGTGTTTAAAAACCCCCACCTATTAGATTTTTAATAGGCTAGTTTTGACTGATTTAAAAACCCTCCAAAACTATTATAGTGTATTTTTGAGAGGTTTATAAAACACCCCAAATCGGGGTGTTTTGGTTGGTTTATAAATTTTATTTCAAAAAAACCCCTTTCCACTCCCTTTGCTGCACACAAATCTCTTGCTGCTGTTGACTTCTCTCTAGCACACAAATCTCTTGCTGCTACACACGAATCCCTTTGCTACACACAAATCCCTTTGCAATCGCTAATTCACAAGAAAGGATTATGTTCAGAATCAACTTCAACATGATCCCTCTCCCTTGTCATACTCAACTCGTCTACTCGCAAAGGAAATCCATCCAATAACAGGCCATCTGCTGGAATCTGATCACTAGTCTTCAGTGACACAACGTCTCCAACTACGAGATCAAATATGGAGACATGTTGTTGGCGAGCGTCTCTAATATATTCAACTTTGATATTTTTACTTATTTTTGATAGCTTATCAAATTGAGTTTCTTGTTTGGAGTTGCTGAGAACTGACGCAACAACAACCAAAAACACAACTACAAATATACGTGTCAAAAGTAAAGAAAAAAATTAATTAAGCAAAATAGAGAGTGTTTGCTGTGTTGATTAAGCAAAATTAAGAGCTTCATGGAGGAGTTGGAGTAAAACAAATAATGTAGGCATTATCTATATTTATCAAAGTTAATTAAGCAAAACAGAGAGTGTTTTAACTTTATGGGCATTTATGTAAATTTATCATTTAAAAAAACTATTAGAACCGTTGGAAAATAAACTCCCAAGCACAGGTTGGGTGTTTTAAAAACCGCTACTAAAAACCCTTTAAAACCGTTATGGTGGTTTACCCTCATAACCGCTATGATAGTTTACCCTCATAACCGTTACCATAAAACTCTCAAGCAGACCCTTAGGTATTAACTTATGTGATTGATAGACCTAGCAAACGGGCGGACTGGGAAGGTATGGGTTGGATAGTCACGGGTGTTGGTTAAATGGGTACGAGTCAACGAATTTTTTTTTTTTTTTTTTTTTGAACGGGTAAAGATGTGTATTCGTACCTACCCGTCTGTAATTCATATATATAGCCTAATTCATTTTGTGAGAGAGGTGTGAATCCCTAATGCCTAATTTCATTTTCAAAATATATATATATTTTTTTTATCTAATGGGGTACCCGTGGGTATCACTCGGCCCACCCGTCAATTTTACAAGTGGGCCGGGTACGGGTAAATACCACACGAGTAGCCCACCTGTCAATTTTGATGATGTTTCGATATTACATTAATTATTAAAAAAATAATATTACTTATCATATCATTTTAAAATTAATGTGATTGTTGATATTATTCTATCGTATCAATTATTACATTCTATGGTATCCCCTTCTAATTTAATTAACTAGAAGAAAATGCTCATAAAATTAACTGTTAAGGGGCGTTTGGATCATATAATGTTTTATTATAGGGGTATATTATATTAACAGAAAGAAAGATCACATTAAAGACTTGTGGAAATGTTTAGGAAATGTGTTTGGTTGGTTCGAATAAATTAGTGAATAATATGTTTGGTTAGGAGGATAAATAGCTGGGTATGTTATATAGATTACTAAATTGTCCTCCTTTTAAAATATTAATATAATAGTATTTATTATTATTATTATTTGAGCTATTTCTTTTAACCCCTTACATTTGAAATTTACTAAAATACCCCAGTCATATAAAACTTTAATTTGTAACAAATTACCCCCACCCACCCTAAGCCACTATCGGTAGTCAATCACCACCGTCAACAGTCAACAGAATGGCGTACGACTAGCCATATATGGTTGGTCGTGCGCAGGCAAAGCCGAAAATGGCCATGGATTACAAATCCATTGCTGAAAAACAACCAGATCTATGGCCATTTCACAGTCAGATTTGCAGCCATTTCATGGCCATATCTTTGGTCGTGAAACAGCCATGGAAATGCCAAATCTGGCCGTTTCCAGCCATGGATCATAGATCCATGGCCGGGAAAGGCCTTACCGATGCTCAACTGGTCAGATCTCTCTGGTCATGAGCCATTACAGTGACTGACGCTGACAGCTGGTGGTGGTGTGTCATGACTGACAGTGGTCTTGGGTGACTAGGGATATTTTGTTAACTTTTAAATTTTTTAGTAGCTGGAGTGTTTTAATAATTTCTCAAATGTAGGGGGCCTAAGTAATTGTTATTTAGTAAACATTTGAGGACAATTGTGTTTGAAATGGTTTTTAATTAAAGGCAAATTGAGTAGAAAAATCATATTACCCCAATAATGTTTTAATAATATCCCTTAGCAAGGTAAAAAATTACCCCCCACATTACCAATAGTAAATACTATTTGCAATAAAAGATTACCATAATATTTTATTACTTGTAAACCAAACACCGGAATCTTGTAAAATAAATAAAAATTACCTCTGTTATCTTATATAACCTCAATCCAAATGGCTCCTTCATCATAAGTCATAACGTTCCACCGAGACATGTTCACTCGTTACTCTTAGAAATTGGAAGGTTGGACTAATTGCACTATCCCAATTAGTCACCATTTTTGAGGGATTGAAGGTCAATTATAAGTCTTCAAATATCTACTGTAATAAATTATTTTTTCATAAATTTTACTCAAATAAGTCATTTATCACAAAAATGTCTCAAGGTACTATTAAAATTTTTCTTTCTCATTTATTTTAATTTAATAGTACTAATTGGTAGTTGTTAAATTAAATACTAATATATATTTTGGGTTAACGCCCACCTTAAACAATATATATATATATTATATAATATATATATATATATATATATATATATAATATTATATTATATATATTTTGGATTAACGCCCACCTTAAACAAATGCAAGTGTACCAAAAATGTTTTGTGGTTTCCATGAGTCTTCCAATTTATCCATACAAGACTTAATTAATTTTACGGAAACCCAAATCTAGATAATTGACTAGACTTAATTAATTTATGAGAGAAGGGCAAATTTTTTGTTTTTCCTTTTTTTTTTTTCTTTCTCCAGTTTATCCATAGAAGACTTAAATCAATTTTATACCAACCCAAGTCAAGATAATTGACTCTAGACTTAATCAATTAATTTATGTGAGAAGGGTGCGTTTTTTTTTTTACTCTATAAATTGAAGGCAACCCTTCAGTTGTTTCAAACCAAGAAGTAGAATTATAAAATTACACCTAGAGGTGGGCAATTGGGACTGGGTCCAAAAACCCAGACCAAAAACCCGGTCCTAGGAGGCCTGGAAGGAGAAGGACCCGGTCCCTCCACTGGGCCCTCCTCCAAGGCCCAGGCCTAGGCCTAAATTTTTTAAATATTTTTGTTTTAGTCTCTTGTATAATTACTAAAATCTCCTATAAATTTAATAATAAACATAAATTATAGGGGTTAAAAGAAAATTTTACAAAATAAAAAAAAAAAAAGAAAAAATTTTTGCAAGCCCTGAAAATTTTATAAAATTTATAAATATTACCCCTAAAAATACTAAAAACCCCTTACAAAATTTCGTTTCGCCCCTAAAATATAAAAAAATATCAGGGGGAATTTTTTTTTCTAGGCCCATAGGACCAGTCCTAGGGACCGGTCCGAGTCCTAAAATTGCTCATGGGCCTGGGACTGATCCCTGGCCCTGAGCGACTGGTCCTTGACTGGCTCTAATTACACCCCTAACAATTAAGTGCAAAACATTAAATAATATATTTATTTATATTTACTTAATGTTTGATGCTTGATTATAAGTATTTAATTATTTGTTTTCACCGATAATAAACACTTAAAAACTATTATTTAACGTAAATGTGTTAATGTATATTAATTTTGTAATCAAGTAATACGTGAAACTTAAATATTAATAAGAATCTTTTGAAAAAGTGATATTTTAATGAAAATTAATAAAACTTTTGATACTAAGATAAAAAAACCCAATTTTTTTTTTTTATATATTTATATGATATGCAAAATATCAAAAAAACCTCCCATATATAAAATATATAAAAAAAACTCCTATTCTTTAATATTATATCAATTTAGTCCCGATTCCTAGTTCCGATTCTGATTCCAGAACCGACACCCAGGCACCCGTCGGTTCCGGTTCTACCCTAAAATTTTGCCCACCCCTAATTGTATCCCTTGTAATTTAATTAACTAGAAGAAAATGCTCATAAAATTAACAGTTAGTCATAACCTTCCACTGAGATGTTCACTCATTACT